CTCTCTCTCTCTCTCTCTCTCTCTCTCTCTCTCTCTCTCTCTCTCTCCTTCCCTCCCTCCCTCCCTCCTTCCTTCCCTATCCCTCCCTCTCTCTCCTACTTACTACTCCCTGCAGCTCCTTACTCTCCCCACTCACCTCTCAGCTTCTGCTGGCTTTTATATCCTCTCCTGTTCCCAGAAGTCCAAGAGCCAACTGTCACTGAAGAGCAAAGGGTCATTTAAAGGGCCAGGCACACAAAGTATTTCATACTATAAGTGGTTTTTAAATAAGGATGGCCCCCATAGGCTCATACTTTTGAATGCTTGGTCCCTGATTGCTGAACTGTTTTGGGAAGGATTAGGAGGTGTGGTCTTATTGGAGAAGAATATCCTTTCATGTGTGTCTGCTTCAGCTCAACGTTCCTTCACCAGCCTGCCTTAGCCTTTCGCCTCTGTCCTCTTCAGCTAAACGTTCTTTCATGTGTTTTCCCTAGCAAAACACCATCCAACCAACTTTCCAAAGCACTCTGTTTTCACTTCAGATGAGAGCAATAAAAATACTCTGCAGAATTATGCTTGTGGACTTGGTGTAGATACATATATGTTCTACTGGGAGATACGGACACATGAAAGCCTATCTAGAAGTAGGGATAATAGCATTATTATTCTGTGTTCTTTTCCCTGAGAATCATCAATTGATGTTTTGAATCGGTATTAACCTATACTTTCAAGTTATCTGTGAAAGCCAGTTATTCTCTAATTTAAAAGACTAGGAACTGTTCACTGCTTGCCTTACTCACTTTTCTAATTTACTTCTTAAAACATGGTGGCACAATTTATGAAACATTGTTTACATGACAATTAAAAATGCTCAGGTAAAATCCAATCCTGAATCTTTTAACAATAGGTGGAAACTGAAATTTATTAAAAACAAACCGCAGGGCTAGAAAGGTAGCTTAGGGTAAAGAGCATGGGCTGCTCTTCCAGAGGACCCAGGTTCAATTCCTGACGCCGCCCATGTGGCAGCTCACAGCTTTCTCTAGCTTCAGTTCCAGGGAATCCAATGCCCTTCTCTGACTTTAGTGGGCCCTGTACACATGTGGTACACAAACATATATTAAGGCAAAATACCCATATACATAAAATAATCAAATAAAAATAAGTTTTAAAGCCGGGCGGTGGTGGCGCACGCCTTTAATCCCAGCACTCGGGAGGCAGAGGCAGGCGGATTTCTGAATTCGAGGCCAGCCTGGTCTACAGAGTGAGTTCCAGGACAGCCCGGGCTATACAGAGAAACCCTGTCTCGAAAAAACCAAAAAAAAAAAAATAAGTTTTAGAAAATGAAAACAAAACCTCAATGTGGAGTAGTGAATGTGTCTGCAAAGATTGTACATCTATAAAGACTTGAATTTGTATGTAGGCTATGACAATGAATAAGAGACGGGCAGTTGTGGCGCATGCCTTTAATCCCAGCACTTGGGAGGCAGAGGCAGGCAGACTTCTGAGTTCGAGGCCAGCCTGGTCTACAGAGTGAGTTCCAGGACAGCCAGGGCTACACAGAGAAACCCTGACTCAAAAAAACAAAAAACAAACAAAAAGAAAGAAAGAAAAAGAAAGAAAGAAAGAAAGAAAGAAAGAAAGAAAGAAAGAAAGAAAG